GGCAAGAGAAGGTCCCGAGCTTGCTACATGTAGGGTTTAGGGTTTAGGGTTTAGGGTTTACCCTATGGACCAAGTCACTCTTAAAAGTTGGGGTCCTAAGACCTTTGTACTCTGAATTCCTAAAGGGCAGTTCAGCCTTAAGCCCGTTTAGGGTTCCTTTCGTCCTTAAGGCAGGGTCCGGGCAGAAACCCTAAACTCCAAATCCGAAAACCCTTAAACCTGAAATCCCCTTGACTCCAACCCTAAAGCCCAAAAGTGCTAAGCCACCAACCCTAAACTCCAAATCCTAAAAGCCCCAAGCCCTAAACCCTCAAAGCCCTGAGCCACGAACCCTAAAGGCATTAAGCTCCGAGGCACATCGCGCCAAGGCCACGAAGGAAGTCGTGCAGGGAGCCACGGTGAGGAGGGATGTTGCGCTCCTTCAAGCGTTCAGGGTTGAGGGTTGGGGATATAGCCCTAACCCCCCAGTTACCTACTATATAGGGTACTAGAGCCCCTAAGGCCCTATATAGTAGGTACCTGGAGGGTTGGGGATATAGGATTCAAGGCTTGTCAGACTTCGGTTGTATGCGTTCTTTTTGTGTCCCGAGTCGTAGTCGAGAGCGTAAATACCTGAGCCTGAGACGCAGCCAACGTGTTGTGTAGGGCCACTGCAAACTGGACGGCCCTAAACCCTAAACCCTAAACCCTACACTGGACCTGAGGTTTGTATCGGGGACCTACAACACCAAGCTTCACTAGGCCACTATGGCGAAATTACCGGGCTCGCCGAGCATTTACCACAGGTCCTTGCGCTATTGAGCTATGCAAATGGGTACTTCTCGAACTTAGGATACCTTTTTTAAAGTCCCAAAAATGATACGGCACCCCTTTAAAAGGGGACCCTACTTTAAAGAACTACCCATATAGCTTTCACTCACGGCCTTCTACTTGTTGTCACAAGGCCCAGGGGTCCCATTAATGGTTTAGGGTTCCTGGGGCTCCTAAGTACCTCCTACTGTAAGTACCTATTGTAGGGTGTAAGATTTCTTAATCAGGAAGTACTGTTATGGTTTGGGAAAGTATCCCCCATAACAGTACCTGGCCCTATGAAGCTAGGGTGCAGGGGCTTATGTTTTTAGCCGCTGAGGTTGTTCATGTGGCCCGTAAGCTGTAAGGAGCCGACAAAATCAAGGAAGTCTTACAGACCCCTGAACCACAAGCAACAGTGATTTTCTTGGTTTAGACTTGTAGAGGTGACGATGTAAACGGGATTGCTTGGGTCGGGGACAAGATTGGAGCGCGCCGCTCGGATCATATATAGGGGCCTTAATAATTTGAACAGGATTTGGGGGTATATTATATACTATAAATAGGAGAAGGAACCCCCAAAATAGTATAGGTAACCATTGCGGCCTCTATATTCGGACTAGTTCTTGGTCTTGTCTGAGAGCGCTCCGGTTTGCCTGGTAGCGAATCTTTCAGGACCCGGTGAATGCCAACAAAGCACCGCTTGAAGCCCTAGTCAGTTCTGGCTTTTTCCCTCTCGCATGTCAGTTCTGGGTGTAGGGTTTAGGGTTTAGGATCTAAGGTTTAGGGTTTAGGAGCCCTTAGAGCAACGCCACACAAAAAATCCTAATAAACTACCCCAAAAAAGTCCTTAAGCTTTGGTAGAGGCATCGAGCCCTGATAGAAACCCGAAACCCTAAAAAACCTAACCCCTAAACCGCAAAAAAACCTAAAAGCTCTAAACCTTAATCCCTAAAACCCTAAAAACCACAAAACAAAAATCCTAAAACCCTAAAAACCACAAAAACAAAAATCCTAAAACCCTAAAAACCCACCTGAACAAACCCTAAAATCCCTAAGACACCCATTGGCCCCCCGTGGTCTCCGGGAGCTTCAGGTCGACTCCGTCGAGCGTCAGCTGACCCGAAAAGGAAAGCATGCGGATGGCCTGGATGGTTGCTATAAGGGTTTAGGGTTTAGGGTTTAGGGTTAGGGTTTAGGGTTTAGGGTTTAGGGTTTAGGGTTTAGGGTTTAGGGTGGATGGCTGCTACCCAGAGGCCCCATAGTAGTTCCTTTTGGGGGATACCTTATAGGATTCTATGGCCTGGATGTGGGTTACTATACCTTAAGAACCCAAAACCTACTTTTTTGTAGGGTCCCTATAAATCCCATACTAGGGTTTATACTAAGAACCTACAACAAAATGGGTTTTGGGTTCTTAAGGTAGGGGTTTCTACAAGGGTTCGGATGGCTTCAGGATTCAGGGTTTTCGGGCTTAGGGACCTGGATAGGGGGTAGTTCTCCAAGTGTCTATACTACACTCTATTCTACTAGTTTCAGGGTCCTTAAAGGGATCTATGAGGGTTCTATAGGGTTTCTATAAGAGTACTGTAAGGGTTCTTCATGGGTACTTTTCTAAATTAGGGTCCCTTTTAGGGTGCTTCTTATAAGGGTGCCCTACTATATTGGGAACCTAGAAAGGGACCCTAATGTAAAGAACTACCCATGTGTTGCGTAGGGGCTTAGGGTTAGTTCGGGTTTAAGGGTTATATATAGGGGCTCAGGCCTCGGGGCTTACGGTTTAGGGTGCCTTGTCGTTGTTGGCTCCATATCACATCTAGGCAGGATGGTTCATGAAACAGCTGTCTGTCTATTGGGCAACTAGGGTTTAGGAAACAGCTTCGGATAGGCTTTCGATGTCAGAAACCATCAAAGAAAGACGGGATTCCATGTTCTCTCCACGGCACCGTGCGAATCCACTGCGGCAGGAACCGCACCGTGCGTAGCTTCAGCGCACACCAAACAGTGAGATCCACCTGCACATGGAGTGAGGGGTGAGCTTGCTGGTCTCAGAAGTCTCAATGCTCGCTCTCGGCTCGGTACGAATCTCTACTAGGCTTGCGTGGACGATCCGGGACGCAGCAATTACGTAGAATCAGTAGGGTCATGAAACCAACGTAAGCCCAGTTGGCGTGCTGCTGAACCCTAAATACAATCCCGATGTATTTCCATAGACTCTAGCACTATGCCTGCAAATCTGTGCATAGTTTCGTTAGTTTCGTTTGCATGTAATGGAACTGCGAGGGGATACTATTGCAAACTGTTTCGATACCTCAAACTCCACGCTTTGTAAGATCGAAGTGAGCACCCTGAATATTCACCATATTTCGCAAGCCATCAGAATTAAGAACAAGGTTTTGAAGCATAATATAAGACCAGAATCATAAAAGAACGCTGGTAATGAATCCTCATAGAAATCCTTGACCCTGTCCCTAAACCCTAAACCCTAAACCCTAGATTTCGCAAACCCTAAACCCTAGATTTCGCAAGCCTTCGAAATGAAGAAGTTGTCCACTTGGATGACCGCTGGAAGTGGAGGAGGCTCGTAACCTAGGTGTAAGGCTTACGGTAGACCAGCAAGGGATCCCAGGGTCCCTAGAATTCGCGGTTTAGGGTTTAGGGGTTGAAGGATTTAGGGTTTAGGGGTTCAGGGTTTAGGGGTTTAGGGACAGTTTGGTATCTTCCACAAACTGGTAGAAAGCTTGATGCGGCTTTGACCGCGGAGGGGTCTTGTTTGTTTTCTGCCATTCCCATGTCAAGCCTGTCGGGCTTCAAGGCTCTAGGTTTTTGGGGATTTTGCTGCATTGCTGGAACTGACACAGTAAGTAACGTAGTAGATAGAATAACTGAAAACATTATTATAGGTTTTTCATGATCAGGAACCCTGAGGAATAGTAATACGAAATATTCAGGCCCCTCTGTTATACGCAGGTGTCGTCGCAGTCTGGGCAAGGAAGGCAGATTGTGAACAAGCACGTGGATAGAAGAAGTTTAGAGTCTGTGTGACAACTGAATGCCGGCAGCATAGAAGCCTTCCAGCACCGACTGCCCCGCAACGCTTGAAATGTCGGCAAAGCGAAAACCTGACCGGTGCAAGTGATGGTTTCGTGTCTCATGGTTTGCTGTTTGGGCCCTAAACCCTAAACCATTAGGGATAGCGCCGAATTGTCCGGGCTTGGAGTTCGCCAAACTGAAGATGACAGGACATGTGGGAGTTCCGGGGCTGATCGGGCTAAAAGGGCAGAGGACTGGTCAGTAGGAACCCTAAACACCAAACCCCTAAACCAAGTTGAGGTTTATTTTCAGTAAAATCTCGCTCCCCAAACGCACAGGTCTATACCTATAGGCCCCATAGTAGTTCCTTTTTGGGGTTCATATATAGAATCCTATAAGGTAATCCCCAAAAGGAACTACTATGGGGCCTATGGGTATAGAGCCTTCCTGCGGCTTCCGTGGGTTGGTTTAGGGTTTCAAGGTTTAGGGTCTAGGGGTTTAGGGGTTTAGGGGTTAGGGTTTAGGGGTTTAAGGTTTAATGGTTTCAGGGTTTAGGTTTTGGGCTCAAAGGCGGAAAGCAACCCCTGAATCCCTAGACATGTCTGCTTGAACCCCTGAGCCATTACAAGCCCAAACTAATGTAGGGGCCAAAATAATTACCAATACAATTTTAGGGGCTCCTTACTATGATAGTATCATGGGCCCCAAAACCCTTTTCTAATTATTTCGGCCCCTATATGACCTCTCAAACCCGAGGAACCCTATAAACCCTAAACCCTCA